GAATTATTAATCCAAAATTTTCATTTCCATTAGAAAATTCTTCAAAACATTTAAGTAAATCAACAAAACTTTAAAAATAATTTTTTTTTAATTTTTAAAAAAATAAAAAATTTTACAAAGGCATAAAAGCATCCAAACCAGCAATTGTGTCTTCCAATTGAAATTTTAACATTTTTTTGTTTGCTGATTCAATTAAAAATTTCTTTAAAATAATTCCAATTAATTCATTTATTGCTTCATTACAAAATATTTCTGGACCTTAAATTAAGAGGGGAAATTTTAGAAAAATTATTTAAAGTGTCTGACTCTATATGAAATATAAGGCTTTCTTTTAAAAGCAAAAAAATTCTTTGAAAATTTTTCAACTTAAAAAACACCCAACCAGCAATTGGGCAAGGATGGAAAAAGAGGAAGGAGAATGACCAAACCCCTTAGAAAGTGGTGGAAGAATAATAGAAAGGTATATGGTTGGAATGATGGGAGATCCAATGAAAAAAAACATATAACCTGGGTAGTAAGTTTTTTGCTAGTAAACGCCCAGTGAATGATGAGAATTTCAAATAGAGCTTTTCATTTTTAAAATAAAATTACCAATTAAAAAAACCTCCGCTAAACGAACACAAAAAGCATTGACAGAAGTTAGAGCCTTAAAAAGTGTTGGTTTTTCCAAAAACAGAGCAACTGTCCAAAGTAAACATAAATAAATAATTTCAACATCATCCAATGTTGGGGTAGTTGAACTTGAAAAGACAAAAATGTTGGGAGAAATTTAAAAAAATTTCTTTACCTTCGTTGATTAACAGCATCCAAAACTTTACGAATTGGTATCTTTAAAATTAAAAGAAATAATAATTAGAAAAAGGGTAGGCGCCCAAGTAGGCGCGCGGATATAGCGGCACAAAGCCATAACTTTCTTCAAGATTTCTGAATCTTACCAAATTTAGTATTAAACGATTCCTCCCATCGAGCTAAAAAGATTGGTACCAAAATTGCTAAGGGCCAGAAATTCTCAGCAAGTCATGGCTTTGCGCCGTTATGGCCGCGCGCCTACTTGGGCGTGTCCTTTAAAAAATTAAAAAAATTTTCGAACCAAAATCCAAGCTTCATTCACAAAAATATCAACAATTCCTTTAGCAAAAATCCATGTTCGACGGCCAGTTGTTGTATCCTCACTAAAAAATATTTTTTAAATTTTTAATCAAAAAAATTAAAAAAAAACATTTGTTCCAAATAAAGCGAGCGAATTTCTTCTAAACGTTCACGACACATTCTAACAATTTGTTGTTCTCGGTTTTCATTAATTTGGGGGTCTGTTGTAATTTTGGTATTTGAAAATTGGTCAAAGATTTTTAATATTTGTTGTTCTTTCCGTGGGAGAATATTCTTCATAAATTTAAATGCCAAATCCTGTTGAATTGGATCCTTAAAATGTTTTTTAAATTGAAAAATTGAAAGTTTTTAAATTTGTAAAAATAAAACAAGTTCCCTTAAGGAGATTCGAACCATAAACCTATTAGGTGCAAGGCTAGTTATTTTTCCCAACTAAAAACTAAAGCGAGCAACTACACAAAAAATGTCAGCAACTCAACTTGAGGAAAAGGTCACTATGCCAAGAGCTCACTCATTGCAGAGCTTTAACTTTGTACTAAAATTCGAATAGGAATGTCAAAAAACAAATTACATTTGAAGATTTCGACGAGTTGAATCGAACATTGCCCGGGGTTCCGTGATACGTTAATTTCTTACAAAGTTAAAATCCTATGATTTAACAGCTCGCGGAATAATTTGAATCAAAATGTCCCCAGACAAAAATCTTATTCAATGTATCCAACTATCCAACAAGTCTCAGCCTAGTGACTGAAGGGTAGCAAAATCCCCCTTTAGATTGGATTTCATGGACTATTTTTAATTTTAAAAAAATTAATTAAACAAATTAACCATAGCCAAATGAGCACCACTTCCACCATCACTAAATCTTGCTTCTTTTTCATTTTTCTCAACCAACCCAATAATTTCCAAATTTTTAATTGTCTCATTAATTAAATTTTCTTCTTCCCTCTTTTCTTCTTTTATGCTTTTTCCTTTTAATTTTGAACTGTCAAAGTGTTGAGAAAAAAGACTTTTTTGTCCTCTTCTGACAAAAATTTTTTCTTTTTCTTTTTGTGAAGAACTTTGTTGTTGTTGCTCTTCTTCTTCATTAAATAAAACATTTTTTAAAACTTGAGGAAAGCCTTTTTGTTGAATTTGTTGATTGTCGTCAAATTGGAAAGGAATACAGCGTTCTGGGAGTTCAAAAAATCCGGGGAAACGTTCCTAGAAAATAAAAGAAAAATTAGAAAAACTTTTCGGCTCTATATGAAAGGAATGCGGCACTCGAAATTTTTCGTCACTCAACATAAGTTCCCCTGTATAATTCTCTCATATTATATTTATGCCGTAGGTCTGTTGACTGTCTAGTTTCTGTTAACCGTCTGTATCTGTCCATGCTTCGACTGTCCGTGTTGCCTACTCACCTATTTCCTACTCATAATTATGGGGAGTAGGGAGAATTTTGAGTGCCCCATTCCTTTCATATTTCTTAAAATTTACCGTTATATTAAAAAGAACATTTTGCCTTTGTTGTTCTTCACTAATTTGTGCTTGTAATTCCCTCAAATCAAAGCGAACAGATTTTTGAGTTGGCATGTCTTTTTTTAGATTTTAACAGAAAATCTATAAATTAATATTTAAAAAAAAATTAAAAACGAAAAAAGACATGGAAAATTTAAAAGATAAGTAGCGACAAATTTAATGTCAAATAAAAATAAGCAAAAAATTTTGATTTAATTCGTTCATTTTTTAATGTTTAACAAAAATTATTTAAAAATTAGACAAAATGAGGAACTTTATTGTTCTGCCACAAGTCTTAGACTCATGCTAAAAATATGTATAGAGTAACAAAAGTTCTAATCATGATTATTGTGTTTTCCCTTATACATATAACGAACCTCTAGCACAAAGATGGGCCACTTGATCTTTCTATACAGTGGTGTGCATGTTTAGAACCACTGGTAAAATTATTTTTAAATCTTCATTAACTTTCTAAAACAATTCCAACAAGACAAATTGCTAATACAATTTTTATAGCATTTTTAATGAGCTTTTCATATATTGCTATTCCTTTCTCAAAATATACCTTATTCCTAGAAAATTTTCGTTTACTCAAACGCAGTCGTATTTTCATATGTGCAAATGTTTAAAACCACTTTGGGTTTTCCGACTTTAATTGGTCCGAAAATTCAAAAAAAATTCTGTAGACATTTCCATCGATACTGACATGAGCAGAGGTTCGAGATCTCGATGAAAAAAGTTACAGACTTCGTTTTTTTCCTTTTCTGCTCATGTCAGTATCGATGGAAATGTCTACAGAATTTTTTTTGAATTTTCGGACCAATTAAAGTCGGAAAACCCAAAGTGGTTTTAAACATTTGCACATATGAAAATACGACTGCGTTTGAGTAAACGAAAATTTTCTAGGAATAAGGTATATTTTGAGAAAGGAATAGCAATATATGAAAAGCTCATTAAAAATGCTATAAAAATTGTATTAGCAATTTGTCTTGTTGGAATTGTTTTAGAAAGTTAATGAAGATTTAAAAATAATTTTACCAGTGGTTCTAAACATGCACACCACTGTATAGAAAGATCAAGTGGCCCATCTTTGTGCTAGAGGTTCGTTATATGTATAAGGGAAAACACAATAATCATGATTAGAACTTTTGTTACTCTATACATATTTTTAGCATGAGTCTAAGACTTGTGGCAACAGTAAAAAACCGAAAATGTGAAAATCCATAAAAAAATTAGCTCAACAAATGTATTTACATGGCTTAATTTATTCAATTAACCATTCATCATCAAATCAACAAAAGATATTCTTCACCAAAAGGTAACCATTCAAATGAAACCATTGGCAAAGTAACCAGGGGTGAGCGCATTGCGTTTTGCGTTATTTGCGTTAAATTTTGGCCTTGCGTTGCGTTTTGCGTCTTGCGTTATTTTCGATGAAATTAACGCAAAAAATATACCCAATCTGAGGACAAAATTGGAGAAATCCGGCTTATTGACCTTCCAAAATTCTAAAAATTTTCGCCTACGGCGCTAAAAAAGGAAGAAATTTTGCTTTCTGGCCTTCCAAAATTCTCAAAATTTTCGCTTGCGGCGCAGAAAATGGAGGAGGGATAAAGTGGCTAAGTGGAAAATATCGGGGGAAATGAGGTGATAGAAGACTATCGGTCGATTTACTGCGATTAAGGTTGATTTAAAAAGATATCGGGGGTTTGTAGGGATATCCTGCTATATCTCTTCAATCCCTGATAACTACTATATGCTCAAATCCTTGTTATTCTTCTAATCTGAAGGCAAAAATTGGGAGAAATCTAGCTTCTGCTTTCCAAAATTCTCAAAATTTTTGCCTGCGGCGCTGAAAGCAAGGTATTTAAATACCAATTTTCCATCTTGGAACGGCTCAAAAAATATCGGTCAGTATCTGGAGCTCAGATCTCAAGTTATCCTCCAAATCACCTGATATCCCCGGAATCAAATTATAAATACTGATAGCTCTTTATCCTCTGTTATCTCTCTAACTCACCCGACAGCCTTCAGTAATCCCATGGTATCTTTTTAAATCTCCTTGATCGCTCCAAATTACATGATAATCTCCGTAATCCCCCGCTACTTCGTTAAACCCCTTGATCCTTCTAAATCCTCTGACTTCCTTCATAATCCCTTCAAATCCTTTATCCCTCTCCAAAGCATTACCCATCCAAATTACATGTATCACAAACTTAATTAGGACTCGCTGACTTATAGTAATACACCAATTTTAACTGAAAAATGGCTAATACTTAATTTAAAAAATTTTTTTCCCAATTTTGCGTTCTTGCGTTTTGCGTCTTGCGTTATTTGCGTTAAATTTTGGCCTTGCGTTGCGTTTTGCGTCTTGCGTTTTTTGAGATTGTCTCTTGCGCTCACCCCTGAAAGTAACCATCATCCAAATAACCATCACCCAAAGTTCCTCCATTATTCTCTTGATTCTCAATTCCATTATTCCCTCCTTGACCACCAAAAATGTCTAAAATGATGTTCAATTCATGATAAAATAATGATAAATTCACCTTTTCCTCCACCACTAAAATTATTCCCACGAACTCCAACAAAAACGTTTCCTTGATTTCCACCAAAAAGATTGGCTCCTCCTCCTCCTTGTCCACCAAAAGCATTACCTCCAACTCCATAAACGTTTCCTTGATTTGCACCAACAAGATTGGGCCCTCCTTGTCCACCAAAAGCATTACCTCCAACTCCAAAAACGTTTCCTTCATTTGCAGCAAAAATATTGGGCCCTTCTTGTCCAACAAAAACATTCCCTTCTTGTCCACCAAAAACATTGCCTCCTCCTTCTCCAACATAACCGTTTCCTCCGTTTGCACCAACAAGATTGGGCCCCGCTTGTCCACCAAGATCATTCACACCAACTCCTCCAAAAACGTTTCCTTGATTTGCACCAAAAAAATTGGGCCCTGCTTGTTCATCAAAAGCATTCCCTTGGTTTGCACCAAAAAAATTGGGCCCTGCTTGTCCAACAAAAGCATTACCGCCACCCCCAAAAACGTTTCCTTCATTTCCACCAATAATGTCTAAAATAATAAATTTATGATAACATCCTTGGAAGTAGATATGGGGGTGTTTTCAGGCTTTTTTGAAATTTTTCATTTATCGTAAACTCTCTAAAATGTTATGGACGCAAAGAAAAAGCAGTTTTACCAAAAGAAACAAAAACCTACTATTTAGAATTTGGCGATTTTGGTCATTTATTTGTTGATTACTTGTTATTTGTTGTTGCATTATTTTTTGATTATTTAAGTATGCGTTTTTAAGAAAGTTGGAATCCATTACTTTAGTCTATAAGTTAAGAAAATAATTTTATGTAAGATGATCTTTAATTTTGGTATGACTTATGAATTGTTTAAAAATCCAGCAAACCTATTTTCTAAGGTAATTCTAGTGCAGATCACGAATTTGACTCAGCTTTATCCAACAACTGATTTTATCTAACAATTGATTTTTTCATCAAGTATGGTTGTAAATAATAAAACAACGCCATTGTTAGCATCTCAAGAAATCTAATGCTATCAAAAAATAATGTTGGTGAACTATAGGCCTCACGGGAGCCCATGTGGAGGGATTTTGGAAAATTGCAAAATAACACATGAGCGGATAGTATAAGCATTTGACAACATGTTGAAATGAAAGAAACATTTATGGACGAGATGGAGGGTAATGGATCAAATCAAGTGTTGGATAAACTCAGTTAGGATTCGTGATCAGGCCGAAATTAGCTAAGAAAATGTTTTGCAGGGTTTGCAAATTTATTTGTCACAATCCCAAAAGACTGTCGAAATTTTTTTCATACAATTTGTTTAGTAAAAGTACTCACTTTATTAGATTTCAATGTAACGATCAAATTTGATCTAAAAATTGTTTAAAAAAATAAAAAAATGTGAAAAGTTGAAAAAATAATTAAGATTATAAAATATTCATATGTACATAATATATATTATTTAAAATTTTTGGCAAATGGATTGACTAGTTGTGGGAGACTCAAAAATCTAGCGAGATTTGAGTCTGAAACTTTTTAGAAATTACTTTTACATTTCGAAGTAGGGTTGCAGCGCGCCGAACTTTGCGAATTAAATTTTCGGACACGGACACGTACTTTGCAGACATGAAACTTGCGGATACGAATTTTACGGATCTATGATTTGAAAACTAAATTTTTAATTTTCTTTTTTACTCAAATGACGGTCCTAAAATATTGGACCGCAAATGTCGAGTCCGCAACTTCGGGTCTGCAAAGTCTGGGTCACCAAAATTTTCAGGTCCTCAAAGTTCGCGCCACTGGGGTTGCACGGGTTTTGAAATGTTTCGAAGCAGGGGTTAGGGCTGGACATAATTGCATACGATTGCGGAAAATCTTTTTCAATTGCGTCCACCCTTGTTCGCGGTGTGGCTTTTAATTTAAAAGAAAAATTCTTCAGAAATAACCCGTTTTCGTTCTATTTTCGATAATTTATTAAAAAATTGAGGGATTAAAGAGATTTGGAGGGATTAAGGGGGATTTTTAAGGATAATAGTGATTTAGAAGAATATTGAAGGGTTATGGGGTTTGAAGGAATTGAGGGATATTAGAGGAGCTCGTTGGAAATGAGAGCGAAAAATCGTTCTGGTATTAAGTGTAATTTTAAATTAAAATGTGACTGGTCTCACGTTTAATCGAAGCTTATGTGAAGAAGTGAAGACTTATGGGGAGACTTATGTTCAAAAGACTCAGTCAATAATAAAGAAAAATAAATAAATAAATAAATAAATAAATAATAAAGTGTTGCCAAAAATTTCGTTTTAATTTTTTTTTAAATTTTGATTTAATTTACCTATTATTCCTTCTAATTGGGAAAGCAAATCCAAGGCAACAATTTATAATTTGTGAAAGAACAAATTCTAGCACCCCATTATTTTCAATAAAGGCTTGATTTGCCAGTGAAAGTTGCTAAAAATAAAATTTCTTATATTTTTGTAATTTTCCTGTCTTCAAAAGAAAGTTTTAACGGAAGACGGGAAAAAACATTTTTTAGTAAAATTTAAAACAAATGTCAAAAGACAAACAAAACTTTCTGGGATTTAGGTATGTAAGATCAAAAATTATAAATTTAGGTTTGTATTAGGGGGAAGTATTTTTGGCGGATGAGAGCATCAAAAATACGTAATTTGAAATTTTGTGGAAGACAGAAGCAAGCAAACTCTCTCTAGTGTCCATCTACATATAACCAAATAAATTTTCAAAAAAAGTTCTCCCCACCTCCTTTTTGAGGGTTTTTAATTTTTTCAAAACTTTGTTGATATCCACATCATTAATACTTAACAACTTTAATTGGTTAGATAATTGGTCTAACTGATCTTCATTTAAAACAAATTGTGAGGAGGAATTTGTTGGAATGAGGAGGGTATTGTTGTTGTTGGGGGGAATTAAAGAATTGGAGGAATTATTTATTTTTTCCATTTTTAAAGTCAAAATGATGAAATTAAAGTTGTTTTTATTTTTTAAAATTTTTTGTTGTCAAGAAAAAAGTAATATGAATCCAAAAATTACTTTGAAAAATTTTAAAATTGTATATAATAAATTTAAAAAAAATCAAAAATTGGACGAAAACAAAAAAAAGTTTAAAAGAAAATTTTAAAAGAGAAAATTTTATCAAAGGAGATTTAGAAAATACTCGTGAAAATGATCAAGAATAGGTTAAAGGACAAATAATTTTGTTTTTAAAAGGAGATAAAGAACAAAATTTTAAAATAAATATTTAAATTGTTTCTGACAGAAAAACAATCCTCCTATAGATTTGTCCTCCCTTTCAACATCACAAAAAGCATATCCATCGAGGATTTAGCCTCATAATTTTGTTCAGAATCATTAAATCTAACCGATCATAGTATCATTCTACTCAGCTCAAACAGCTCTTTCGAATGATACATTGTAAATTAGACCCTATACGCAGATCGTGCCGGCTTGATATTTTTTCCTTACTTTTTTTGAATGGTTCAGAATGGTCATGTTCCTCTACATTTTTGATGTTTGTGATTTTGCCGTAAGGAAAGATGGTGACTTATTTCTTCTTGCTATCATTCCCTATATTTCTGTTAATTCTGGATGTTCGCATGGACGAAGACGGAAAGACAAAACACGGGCGAACACGAAAGAATTAAAAGATTTTCCTTATGGCAACCATCACAAACATAAAAACTTGGGAAAAATACCCAGTAAAAAAAGTAAGGAAAAAATATCAAGCCGGCACGATCTGCGTATAGGGCCGTAAATTACAAGCAAAAAAGCTCAAAATGGTCAGGCGAACAGAAAAAAGGGGGCCAGCCTTGGTATTACCCAAATAAAATTTAATTGTTTATAAAAAAACAAAGTTTAAACCAAAAAAATGATAAAAAAAAAAGAAGGAATAAGCTATCAATGTAGAGAACATCATAACGGAATAATAATTTTAAAGAGATGAAACAAAGCTGATATATTAAAATATTTTAAAATAATTTTCAGCTGTTTTTAACCCTTTTAAAGAATAATGGTTTAAAAACTATATTTATATTTCAAATAGTTTACGCCCTCAGAGAACACGCCCCTTTTCATCTTAGTTTCCTTTAATTTTGCTACGTAATATTTTTTTGGGTACGACCCAAGTAGGCGTGTGACCGAGTAGGCGCGAAGTCATAACTTGCCTTTTTACATATTGCCACGCCCCCTACACTTATAATGAATAAAAAATGCGAAAATGGCTGGAAATAAAATAGCATTAGTTTATGTGAAGGCATGGATAAAAAGTAAAAGAAAAAGGGGTGAAATAAAAAAATGGAAGGAAAAGAGGCGTGGTTTCCTGAAAGTAAAAAAACAATAGCACCAGAATATGTAAAACTTAATTTCAATATTATAATTAGAGTTCGAACTTTTCAAAATTACCGGGCCCGGGATCCGGTTTTTTTACTCAAAATCGCACCCGGGCCGGTTTTTCCGGATAAATAAAACCGGAAAAACCGGTTAGCCCGGAAAAATCGGATTTTTTCAGCAATACCCGGTTCCGGCCACCGAGCCCGGAAGAAACCGGTCTCTCTAATTATAATATGTATATGAAAAATTAAAAATAAATATTTCCATTTAAATTAACAAAATATCCCGAGTAATTTCAAAAATAAAATTTAAAAAAAAGAAAGACTTTCAATTTACATACAGTAAGGTGCAAAAGTTTGGAACATTTTCTTTTAAATTGTTTAATCAATAATTTTTCGTTCATTTCTCAGTGAATGGTCTGAATTAAAATTTTTTAAACTAACTATAATTGTCCTCTATAAAATGACACTAGATGTTTCTAATTAGATTCGCAATTTTTATATTCTACATACCCTTATAATATTTTATACCTAAAAATAGGGTGAGCAAAAGTTTGGAACATTTTTGATTTTGCTGTAGTTTCATGTCAAAATCAAATCAAAAAAATTTATAAAAATTCAGGCAGGTATAATGATCGATAATAAGGGAAAATAAAAAAGAACTAGGCCCATATCTCACTTCAGTGTAGAGATCTCGCAAACCTGAAAATCAACGTAAGACGGGATTCTTCACATTTAAAAAATATTTCGACCACTTAAGGATAATTTTGAATTTTTATTTTGAGCCCATCTTAAAGCTCTTTAAATTTGCTATAAGATAGCAATAATAGAATTTTTCAGAAAAAAATTGTTAGCGAGATCAGGACCATTTATCTTTCTAACACAACAAAAAACACCTAAATGCCCCATAGAATGCCCTTTCGAAAAATAAACGGTCCTCATCTCCCGATTGGATTTTTTCTGGAAAACAAGATTTATGCTATCTTGTAGTAAATTTCAAGGGCTTTAAGATATGCCCAAAATAAAAATTCAGAATAACCCATAAGGGGTCGAAAATATTTTTTTAAGTGACTTACCCCCCATTTTACGTTGATTTTCGAGGTGTCATGATCTCAGGTTAGAGTATCGATATGGACCTAGTTTCTTTTTATTCTTTTACAATATCAATATTTTTTTCGATGAAAATTTTATAGATTTTTTTCTTTGGAGTTTTGCATAAAAATACAGCAAAATCAAAAATGTTCCATACTTTTGCACCTCTTATTTTTTGGGTATAAAATATTTTAAGGGTAAAATATAAGAATATCTAAAGATATTTAAAAACTTTTATTATCAATTTATAGAGGACTCTTATAGTTAATTTAAAAATTTTTAATCCAGACCAATCACTGAGAAATGAACAGAAAAACTATTGATTAAACAATTTACAACAAAATGTTCCAAACTTTTGCACCTTACTGTATATTTAGGCATTTACTCTTTTAAAGTTTCTGCCTTCACTCTTTTTCCAATTCATTAATCAAAATTTTGTAATAATTTAATAAAAAAAATACGTTTTAAAAAGAACATTTTGCCTTTGTCTTCACTAATTTGTGCCTGTAATTCGTTTAAATCAAAACGAACAGATTTTTGAGTTGGCATTTCTTTTTTTTAAATTTTAATAGAAAATCTTTAAATATTATTAAAAAAATAATTTAAAAAAAGACATGGAAAATTTAAAAGATAAATAGCGACAAATTTAATGTCAACCATAAATAAGCAAAAAAGAAATTTAAGAGAGTTCAGTTTATTTATTTAATTATACGAAAATTGAAAAAAAACACGAGGACAAAATTAAACACTGTTACAAGAAATCTTAAAAATTCCCTCCTTCTGATACGAAGGAGCGAATATTATAAAATAGGATTACCCCCAGAGTATCGACAACCAAAATATCGTTGCTGAGCGAAATCTAAAAATAAAAAACAAAATGCCAAAAAATACGCGAAAGATACGAATTATGAAATTAGCCCAGCCCTGGTATCGGTTGGAACCTAGAACAGAAAAAATCATGTGGAGTTGTAATTTCTTAGCACATGATAACAGTGTTTTCTTATTTACATTAAATTAATAAGTAGGTGATTAATTAAATTAAAAAAAAGATGATTAAATTAAATTGATTATTGTTTCGATCCAAATTGTCGTTTTAGTTTAAACCATAAATTGACACAAATCCATTACTGAAAATAAAAATTATTTTATTTTCAAAAAAATTAATATGCCAAAAAATGTTTTCCTAAAAATTTCCACCAAAAGTAAAATTTCCATTATAAAAATAATCAACATCAAAATTTTCTCCTTTTTGCTCAACAAGACATTCTTAATAAGATAAAAAAATTTTTTTAATATTTAATAAATTAGTATAGTATAAAAGCCGGTGTTAGTGGCTTTTAAAGCCGGTGTTAAAAGCCGGTGCCGGTGTTACCATTATGATTTTGTATGAAAAGAGCGGAAAAATAAGAGAACGGGAAAATGTTGTTAAACGGATAGTTGATTGTCAAACGGATAGATTTTCAGTTAAACCCCGCCGTGACAATCTACATATAATCATTTTCGGTTATCCAAAAGATTTGATTCTGTCACAAATATATTAAAATTTACTATTTCGGAGCTGCACATCAGCTACCTTCATTCGTGCAAGTATTGCATTTACTTGTTTTCGATTAACTTTTTTGTATCGTCCAAATCAGCTATTGAGGTAAGTGTCTGTATCTTGCTTAAAATATAATCACATCCTCCTCTAGCAAGAAAATTTTCTTAAAGATAAAATTTTAAAAAGAAGAGATTCAGGGCATTCTAAGAATTTTATTACACAAAGTTTACTAACAAGGAACCATCTTTTACTGTAAGTGCAAATTTGGAATTTTTTGGTACCATTCAATAGAGGAACCTCGACTTCCTATTGCAAAGTGATATCGGTTTCTTACAAAATAACTTTGGGCCTAGTTATGGCCAGTCAAAGTTTAACGTTAGTTTGGAGTTAAAGGGAAATGAAGATTTAAAAAATCGCAAGAAAAATCCTTTCAGTCCTTCTAGACATAGACTGAATCGGAGCTATACTGATCCATCACTACCCCCATAAATAAATACCATTATCAACCATCTCGTCAGCAACATTAATTAATTCGAGAATCATATTAATTTGCTTTGAAGTAATTTTGCTGTCAACTCCAATAACAAGTAATTTGTTATGTAATATTTGTTTATGTGTATTGTAAACGAGGTAGAAATCTTGATCTATGGATGATCTATGGAAATATATTTTCATAAGAAAATCGAAGTTTTGAATTTTTATTTACCTATGATTTTCTAAGCCAAATGGCAAAACAAGTCCAAAATTTATAATTTGCGAAAGAACAAATTCAAGCAAACCATTACTTTCAATAAAGGCCTGATTTGTCAATGGAAACTGCTAAAATAATTTTTTTGTGATTTTTCCTTGTTTTTTTAAGAATTCAACGGAAGATGGAAGAGAATATTTTTAAAAAGGGTAATTAATGGGTGAAACTTTTTGGGATTTCAAATATTAAAAAATTTGATTGGCAATAAGTGTGTTTTTGGTGGAGGGTGTTTTTAGCGGAGTAAAAAATCAAGAGAAGCAACTTCTCTCTAATACATACGTTCATACATATAACCAAATAAATTTTCCAAAAATTTCCCAC